TTTGCAAAATATCCCTTGAATAGAATATTTTATTTTTATTTATATATAGTATATTATGTATGTATGTATTTTATATAATTTTACACAAAAATGTCATATAAGTATGCTACACTCCACTACGACACTCTACATATGTAATATTGTAACAATGCACACGCGGACAAACCAATTATATGGTTTTTGCGGGGCCATATTTGTACATCCATGTATTTAATTTGTGTTTTCTGTAAAATTTTCAATTTCAATAAAAAAAAAACACAGTCCCCTAAATTTATTCAATGCCAAAATACCAATTACTAAAAAAGATAATTTTAAAACATCTCGTTCTTCATATTACAATAAACATAATATTATATTTCATCCTTAAAAGCCTGATTTTTTTAAAATCGAATTACAAAATGTATGTACCCTTTACTGTGTTTTTACTAAAGAGGAAATGTAGTAAAAAAATAAAAAATAATAATTATTTTCGTGATATGCTCCTTTTTGCTTTCTAACTTGAAGATTATCAGTCAAAGGTAACATGTAACCAGGCTAATCTTACTAACATTATAAATGCGAAAGTTTAGATGGATTTGACGTAGAAGGAGACGCACATAAAAAGGACATTTCTCCTTCACATGCGTCTCCTTCACTGTCAAATCCACTTTTCCTTCTCATCATTTCCTTTTGAGAAAAGGGTGGAAAGGGAAAGGGATTAAAATTAGGCCTCCGGTACCACACTCATCAGTACGCGGAATTGCTTCCACTTCACGTCTGTTTTTTGTGTTGTCGTGGTATTGGGGGCGAGCCGGTCTATTCGTGCGAAGATGTTAAAGCGGGCTCTACCACTGTTAAACTCAACTTCAAGATATTCTTCATTATAAAGTTTCTAATCAATAATTAACTATTACTTCAAGTTTGATCTCCATTTTTTTACTAAACTACAAACATATCTTCAGCATTAACTCTCGCAGCATGATATTTATAAATTTCATTTTGCTCATTCAAACCTTCCTTAGCTCTATAATAAGGAAACTCATTATAAGTTGGTAAATAATACAATCCTGGTCTATCAAATTTAGTCTCCAAACCTACATAATTTATCTCGGTACCATTATAGCATTTAGCGAATCTTGCATCTTGTATTGAATCGCATTTTATAGCTATAAATTTCTTAGGATTTTGTACAGCAAGCCACCAATATATCGCTGATCTGACATGACTGCAAATAACAAGACAGGGTATCGCTACTATATCACTCGGTTGATATTCCCCACCATTAACATAATAATCTACATGTCCTAGATTCTCTGCAATACCAAAACCATCAATATTAGTATGTAGTATATCAACTCTTTCAGCATCCGTCTTTCTTAACCTCAAATCTGGAGGTAATCCTCTAAAACAAGGACCAGCTGGATCTAAACCTGTTAATCTAGATGGTTTTCTACCAGTTGCGTTAAAATAATATTTAGCAGCATATCCCGCTATATGAGCTCCAATACTCATACCGACTATTTCTAGATTATCAGCTTTTAAACCTAGATTTTCTAGATTAACCAGTAATTCTCCAATCTTATCACCTATCACTTTTGACAGTCTTACTGATCTGGAATAGAATTAAATATAAATTTAAAAGATAAAACAAAATACATTAAAAACAAAACATTCTCAAAAAAAAACAGTACACTAAAAAGTAACGAAATAAAAAAACATACAGACGAATTGAGTACCTCCTTCTTTTGGGAAGTCGGTCAAAAATAAGATTAAAGAAGACAACAGAAGTAACCAAGAATTGTTTTCTAAAATTTTAATTCTTACTAATTTTATAAATGGTAAAGTATAGGATGGATGTTTGTTGATGTTTATAGCGTAAACTGCTGAACGGTTCTCGATTAAATTTGGCATAGATATAGAGGATATACGGAAAGAACACATAGGATACATACTTTCTTTTAAAATTCCACACGGACGTAGTCGCGGGCGAAAGTCAAGTAATGAGAAACAATGCGTTTCCGGAAAGGATAAAGACCACCACCACAATACAATAATGCATATCTTTGAAATAGATTGAATTGAGACAAATCGAGAACAAAGCAAAGGCATGCTATTGTATGCAATTAAGACTTCACAGTCATAGTATAAGTAAAAGGTATAAACTATTGAAGAAGCTAAGAGTGTCCCTATCACTATGATACATAGTATAGAACAAGACGCTTCCCGCTGTCTGTCCCTATGCATGCTTAGATTTTGAAAACAAAACGGATTTTAAAAGCAGATTTTTATTTATATAAAATAAGGTGGCAAACGAGCAAGCGGCCACCTGAATCCGCCAAAATGGCGAAGCGACCGCTGCCTATAGACATCCTCGA